ATCATTATTGTCAGCACTTGCCTCTTGCTACCCGAATAATTTTATGGTCATGTAATTCTTAAATTTCAAATGTCTCGTTAATCCCACTAATTTCTTTTCTTTTGTAACTTGTGGAGTAATTAAGTATTCTTTAGGAAAAAATGGTGCTTCAATAATCTACTCAAATTTGCAATCAGCTTGTCCTGGGACATCCCCGCACTAACTTTCAAGATTCCACCTCTCTCTTTCTCTTGCTTTTTGACCTTCTTTAGGATTGATAAATAGAGACGTATACGACTAAATTAGTTATTAAATTTTAAGTATTTTTAATTTTAATTAAAAATATTTGAATCCTCTTTTCTTAATATATATCTTAGACATTATTTTTATACTACCCAATCAATAACCTTCTTTGTGAGAAATTTTCCATTGCCCTCAGTCTTTTGCCATGATCTCAGTCAAGCTTTTAATAACAAAGCAACATCACTTGCATCCTTAAGCAGTGATAAATTATTTACACATACTATTAAACCTACAACTTATTGATAAAGAGAGATTTTCAAAAGAAATTTATCGTGTTTCTAATATATAATCAGATATTTTAAATCCCTGTAATACTTAAAAGAAAAAACCGGTTGCCTCTAGATCATGATTTGTGATTATCTTATACATGTTACATCTTCGAAATCTTGTGGCAAACATGACCTAAAGAATGCCTCTATCCTTGCAGCTTTGAATGGCTCCAGAGAAGATCTGGTCGATACTGTACTTAAACTTGAATCCGGAATTCAAGAGTTTTGTTGATGATAGGCTAGATCTCATCTGACCCTTAAAATCTTTTAAGCGACTGCAACAAAAAGATTAAACTAATTGGTTCTGCTAGAAACATATGCAGTTAATTGTACAAAGAAATAAGAGAAACTCACTCGATGGCAAGCAGTTCAAATTCGGGGTATTTGGTGGAAAGATATTCAAACATAGCATGAACCGATATATAGACCGATGAACAAATGTATCTCCCGTTTGCATCAGGATGCTCGAGAAGGAAGATATGGGCATTGGCCACATCATCGATGTGTACCATATTGTACGTACCGAAGAGATATTTATAATCATCCTGCTTCCCTGCCCGATTAATTAGCCCAGGAAAGGTCAGGCTGAATCATGGAAAAGAAGTTACCAATTATAGAATGGAAGAAGACATCATGATTAATTACTAAAACATACCCAGAATCATGGTCAGCAAGATGTACACCGATGGAGGCATGTTCGGACAAATGAAGGGTCCAACAACCAAAGGAAGAACGAGGGTGACAACTTCTAATCCATGTCTTTCTGCAAATTCAAGGGCTGTCTTTTCTGCTATGATCTTGGAACCCAAATAGGACATGCTTATAAGCTCGTTGCCTCTGCACAAATCTAGATCGCTCCATATACTTTCATCATTTACGCTTAAACCTTTAGTGTTATACAATATGGCGCCAGCAGTAGAAGTGTAGACAACTCGTTTCACAGTCTTGCAACTCAAGGATGCCTTTAAAATGCCTAGTAATCCGTCCACAGCTCGTTTAGTCACTATTTCTTCAGGCTCTTTGCCCTTAACGTCCATGGGATGAGCAACATGAAAGACTCCCATGCATCCTTGAATGGCTGCTTCGAAGCTATCTGGTTGATTGAGATCTGCATTGAATATTTGGAGCCTCTCTGCTGCCCCTGGCAGGTCTGTGAGGTACCTGATATCTCTGTTGCAATCTGTATGAAGCTAAAAGACATTAGTTGATTTTCTAATATGACAATGATTGGAGGATTAGGGGGAAAACAAAAACCCCATTGAAGGATTGAAGAAGGGTATGCCTGGTAACAAAAGTCAAAGTGTGGTCACGACAATGGCCGCGCAGCTTCGTGACAACAACAAGCTATCTCAAGCATCAATAAGAAACTTCATTTTAATGGATGTTTCTTGTTACAACATATTCTCGACGAATAATAATATAAAGAGAGAGAGAGGTGATTTTGAACTTGTAATTAATCCAAATTTTTTCCTTTTGTTCTTTGGGTACATGAAAACATATGAAAATTGACAAGCTAAAGTCTCGTTAAGTCTAGCTAAGATTGTAGCTAGGAATTATGAAAAAAGAAAAAGAGATTCATCAAACTTGTATCAGAAGTTTGAAACTCTCTAACTCACCTGGGTCTAATCTAACAGTAGCCCGGACCAAGTAACCATGCTCGAGAAGCCTCATAACCAGCCATGATGCTATATATCCTGTTCCTCCTGTTACACAAACTATTCTTCCATCTTCTTCCATCTCTATCTTTCTTGGTTCCTCTTCCTAATTTTTTTCTGATTTCCTTTCTTTCTCTGTTTGTTTTAGTTAACAAACATCTATCTAGCTCTTAAATAAGCAACAATTCCCCTTAGCTTAGGATCATGCAGAGGCTTTAAATACTATATCTCAATACAGCAATATATCGTTAGCAATATTGTCCGATAAATATAATAACGTCGTTTTACATTGATATATTTGTCATGTACAACCATTTTTTCTCTATATAGAAAATGAGAAATGTCGGGTCTAATTTTAAGTAAAGATACATGTACTTATTATGAAATTAAATATTCAAATATAAAACATAAATACTATGTCCATTCTTTCGCTTTCTCTTGTTTTTTTTTCTTTTGTCTAATATATATATATATATCACTATTTTCTTTTGGAAAGCATAATGAAGTTTAATTAATTAAAATATAATGATCGTATACTTATTATATACTAAAAAATTGCAAATATGATTATTACAGCTATCATATATATGTACCACGATAGTTACGTGTAAATTATTTTATTTCAGAATGGTGTTTTTTAATAGATATTGGTGGGGCATAAAATAATTAGTAGGTGAATAAAGCTATCGGAAGCTAAAATGGCATTTGCTTAGTAATGGCATCTAACCTACTTTTTCAACAATTATTATGAGGTGGATGAGAGCTAATAAACTATTTCTGAATATAGTGACCCATTGATCTTGACATCTTTTCGTTACTAAAAGCAAAATTAGTATATGTATCTTTACAAAAAGTTGATAAAAGTTGCTATTATTATAAATTAGCATCTACTATTAAGCTTTTGTGATTTGTGAATTAAAATTTCATTTTTTAAAATTTATTGTTAAAATTAATAAAAATATTATTTATTATTTTATATTATATAATATTGATATGACATATTAACATATTATAATGTATTATGACGTAGCATGTTAAAGTATCATGGTAATATAATTATGTGATATTTTTTACTATTATGTGAGTATTAAATGACATCTAATATTTTGATTAATAACAATTAATTAATCATTACTTATAAAAATTATTTATCTCAAAATAAAAATATAAGAGTTTGATATGATATAAGAGAATAATGAAGATTGATTTAAATTTGACTTGCTTTAAAAAAAAGACTTATTTGAATTCTTTAAAAGAAATATTTATTTGAATTTTTTTGAATAGCTTAAGGATATTTTAAAGTATTATGTTTTTATTTTTATTAAAATATTTCAAAATAAAATTTTTTAAAATAGTTTTTATTTTATTAAAAAATATTAAACTTTTTATATTATAAATTTTTTAAAAAATTAATATAAAATATATTTAAATCAAAATTTTCATTTTAATCTCCACTAAAGTAAAAAAAAAAAAGCAGAGAAAAAACAAATTTATTGATTAATAAATAATGATTTTTTTTTTAATCTTTGTTCGGACAATGTTGTAGTACCCTTGTCTTAATTCCCTCGAAGTTGCTTGAAACATTGGAATTAACCCAAACTTTACTTATGCAGAGAATTTTGACGTTTCTCACAAAACCAATCGTCCATTTGCTTTGCTTGTTCCACACCTTTATAATTTTTTTCACGAGAAAAAAATTAGTCAAAGTCTCCGGTCAAAGAATAATTTCTTTTCTCTGTTGTTGCCTTAGCAAGTGGCTTTAGCTTGATTAGATCCAACGGCAGCTTGAGCAGCTTCACCGTGTTGAACAAGCCTAACTCCCCCTATTCATAAATCATCATCACCCCCCTCATTCCAATATGATGATATACCTTACTGGTTTGTTTGGTTTTTCTTGGACAACCTTGCAAGTGTGCTGCATGTGCTGGACTGTTATTATAATGTTAAAATAGAGAAAAAAAAAATAGTATTAGCGTTTTCTAATCTCACCAGAAATTAAAAAGGCATGTGAATATTAGAAAATAGTGAATTTATAATTTAAAATTATTATATTCACCGTATGATGACGAGCAAGTATATTCTTTAACATTAAAATATTTATATTTTGATTCTATTGTAAAATTTAATATTTATATTTTATTCAAACTCGATTAATAATATTTTATTAAAATTTGGACTTGTCCTTGATCCGATTTGATGGAATTTAAAGTAATTATGTTGACGATTTTCTTTTAAAAACTAGAATCACTTATATTAGATCAATCCCAACAAATCCATGAATACTAAATCAAGTGCACAAATGCCGAATTCTGATTATATTTTATAGGGAACAAGTAATGATGACTTGTTAAGACAATTTTTAGTGGAAAGTTTGGAAAGTAAATTGGGTTTTGACTTTAATTATAGAATATATATAAATGGTCTTCAAGATTACCCTTTTAACAATCTAATAGTAAAAAGGAGCCAAATTTAACCCCAGTAACTAAAAACCAAGTGAACTGTTTGTCTATAGAGGAGCAAAAGATAATTACAAAGGTGGTGGGGTGCTGGCTTCTAGAATTATGACCAAACAAAAGTCTTCCTTCCAGTATAAAGCAAGCTGTTTGTTGTCTTAAGTAACAAATCCATTTTCTTTATTATTAGTAGTATTTATTTATTTTTATTTTATTTGAAATAGTTGTTAAAAAATACTTGTCCCTTTAATTTTTTTTATTAATTAAACAAAATTAGTTTTTATTTAACTTCAATTACTTCTTGCCATTTTTATTTTCGGTATAGGAGAGGGAAAAATAGAAAAAGAAAAGAGAGAATTATTTTTTTCTCTCCCTCTGGTGTTCTGTCTAGAAACATGGATTCCACACTTTGCCTGGAATCCCAAATCGCAGTCAATATCAAATCCCATAAACCCTAAATTCGCAATCCCACCTATATAAAACATTTCAGAAAAAAAAAACACCAGTTTTTTTCTTTTTAAATTCTCTTCTTCTTTTTTTCTTTACTCACCGTCGACTGGTTCGGACTTCAGACCATTAACACCTCAGATTATTTCGTCTTCTAGGTTGTCCGGACAACCTTAATTAGGTGTCTTAGTTTTGAAGCAGCCCAAAGCACTGTTATTTAAAATTAGAACGAAAAAAGATCAGATTTTTAATCTTTTCTGTGTATTGTTCTGTTACCTGGTATTATGCATAGATCTGGAGCAACGATGGCGTGGAACGTGTTCAAGTTTTGTACGGCTTTGAGGGGTTTGGGCTCGATCATGATCCTGTTGGTTCTGGGGGTCGTGGGTGTCACATACTACTCTGTCGTTTTGAATAACTATGGCCCAGCTTTGTACGATGGTGGCCTTGATTCCCTTACTGCTGTTGTTGTCTTGATCTTATTTCATTGTTTGGTATGTCTCCAGAATTAACTTTCTTTTGTTTTTCTTTGGTATTTCTTTTTGTGGGGTTTTGTTAGGTTTTTAGATATTGAGCCTCTGGATTAGAAACCTTGAAACTTTAACATTTTTTTTTTGTAATTTCACTATAAATCTACATTGAAATTAAGTTCAACTAAGAATTTTGTAAGTTAAAATGATTCTGGAAATGTTCAAGCTTGTGTTTGCCATCTCATTAGTTAGAGTGGTCTTTCTGGATCTTAAATTTTCTTCCTTTTTAACACTAGATGTTATGAATCCATGAATTTTCATATTTCTTGCTAGTAGTTGTTAAACACCAGAAAAAGAAAAAGCAAATCTGAAGTCTTGTTAAAACGCAAGGCTCCATGTTGGGCCTTTTTTTATATTGAGTTTCAAACTTTCAATGCTAAAATAGTAATTTGGTTCTGGGATTGTGATTAATGTAATTATATTGCTAAAAGAATGTAAAAATAATGGATGATAAATATATGGTGGAAACGGACCCTAAATATGAAATTTTTGATGTGATTCTGCAGTTGGTGATGCTGTTGTGGAGTTACTTTTCTGTTGTTTTGACTGATCCGGGTAGTGTGCCCCCTAACTGGAGGCCAGCTATGGATGAGGAGAGAGGGGAGGCTGACCCATTGAATGGTTCAGAGTTCAATGGCTTGCAGTCAGACCCATCAAATCAAAGAATTCGGTATTGTCGGAAGTGCAACCAGCTGAAACCACCTCGCTGCCATCATTGTTCTGTTTGTGCGTTCTTCATGCATCAAAATTCTCCATTTCTGTTTCTTGATTTGCTAATAGGAATTTTGTTATTATGATCAGTTCCTTATCAATTTCTCCGTCTCAGGTGGGCGGTGTGTGCTGAAGATGGATCATCACTGTGTGTGGGTTGTCAGTTGTGTTGGTGCACTAAATTACAAGTATTTCCTTCTTTTCTTGGTATGTCTGCTTTATTTTGAATTAGTATCTCATACATTTACACTTTCTAGGTCCCAGTTGCTTTGTTCATCTTAGCTTCAAGAAGTTCCTATGATCAATTCTCTTTTGGAAGCATAAATTGAGTTGTGAAGTGCTTCTTCTCGCTCTGACTAATTTATTCCATGCATTGATTGTAGTAATATAGGTTAAGGATTCAATTAATGAGATGTTGATGGAGCAAAGCTCCTGTTTTCTTGGCATTCTGCTGACTATGATTTTAAACCTTGATGCAGTTTTACACATTCCTGGAGACAAGTCTTGTGACTTTGGCCTTATTGCCACATTTCATAGCTTTCTTTAGTGATGAAGAAATTCCTGGAACACCTGGCACCCTCGCAACCACTTTCCTTGCCTTTGGTATGGGCTGCTTGGACTTTTCTTATGACCTATTTAACTTTGTGACTATGTACTAATGTATGTCTGTGTTCCCTTGTCACAGTTTTGAATCTGGCATTTGCATTGAGTGTCTTGGGGTTTTTGATCATGCACGTATCCTTGGTGGCTGCTAATACCACAACTATTGAGGTATTCTAATTCATCCTAAATTTTAGTACCATTTCATAATAGTTGGTGTTTTCAGCTTTTATGGTTATCATAATAAATGGGCTCAAATGTACGGACATAATCTGTTATTTTCTTTTGAACAGGCATATGAGAAGAAAACCACTCCAAAATGGCGTTATGACCTTGGTCGGAAGAAAAATTTTGAACAGGTAACTGTTTTTGCAATATTGTTATATCCCTTGTACTTTGACATGTATTTCTTGCATGAAAAAAACATTTCTATCAAGGTCAGTTGATGATTGTTCTAGTCAAAATCAATTAAATCCCCTTTATCGTCCTATATGTCATTTGGGCTGTGTGCTGAACTTTTTTTCAAATGTTATGCTTGTAATTTTTGTTCAACTAGTCCCTCGTTGTATTTGCAACCTTTTACATTCGATGCTAGATTTTTGAATATTTGTGCTAAACTATTACTTAGAAGCTGGAAGTTTTATTCTGTTTCGGGGTAATGGAGTTTGCAATCTTATAGCTGGCATTTCTGGCATGTTAATTGTCATCAATGTACTCAAGTCCTATGTTTATCTGCATATAGGTGTTTGGAACAGACAAGCGATGCTGGTTCATTCCAGCGTACTCAGATGAGGATCTACGACGGATGCCAGCGCTTCAGGGTCTTGAATATCCATCAAAGCCTGATTTTGATTCCCAGGAGTTCTAAAAACCTCCTGCACGCCAGGAACTTTGGAAAACTTTCTTGTAATTATAGATACGGAAGCCTCATGCATTCTTCCCTGGTATTCTAACAGGTATCAAGCTCTGCAGCCACTTTCGGCTTCTAACTGTTCATTCCCACCGGCATCTTCATGTAGAAATAACAGTGGAGAGAGAGAGAGAGAGAGAGAGAATATCAATGAAAGCAGCATATGGTTGTGAAAATGGAGGATGGCCGATGGGCACAAGTTAATTTTTTTTTATTTTATGCACTAATTGTATTTTCGGAAATCTGGGAACAATAGGCTTAGGGTATGGAATGTAACATTTCACGTTGTGACATTAATTTAGTTTTTGTAGATTTGTTCTACTGATTGGAAAAATATAGGGAGAATGCATTTGGATCAAGTATCAATTTTTTTTGGCTCTTCTCACTCATACTCTGAAATTTATGTGTTAATTTCATTTTTATCTGATGCATCAGCTTACAGATTTGATGAAACAATATTGTTTCATTGAAATCTAAACGTAAATTTAAAACAAAAAATGTAGAGATGACTATGTTTATTATGTAAACGGGCATTTTATGTTATTCAATTTAATTAAATAAATTAATATATTTTATAATAAATTGAGGCTCTGGCTGAATTCTCTTTAGCTAGAGTGGTCGGTTCTCTCGACAAAGAAATAAAATCCATAATTTAAAAAAATTAAAAAATTCGGGTTTAGGGTACATTAGGATATTGTAAAATTAAGATATTTTATAATTGAATTGGGGTAAGATTTGAGTTTAGGGTACATTATGATATTTTACAATTGAATTGGGATAAGAATCGAGTATAGGATACTTTATTATTCATCATTTTAAAAATTTCTAAAAATATATCAGTATGTTTTTTAGAAAAAAAAAAAACTATAGATTTGAATTTTTTATCCCAGAAATAATTCTTCAGAAAGTAATTTCTGTAAATATTCTTTATTTTATGTGTGCTTTTTCTTAAAAATAGAATTTAGATTTCCTAAGAAGGTAGAAAAAAGAAATGAAAATCCAACGCTTTGAATTTTTTTGTCATAAATAAAACCCGGAACATTCTAGCTTACTGAAGAAAGTGCCTTCGAAGGGCACGTGTCGCCTTCTCAAATATACTTAGTTCCCGGTTTGAAGAACGGGCTATGTAAATCCGCTTTCTCCACCTGACAACCCCCGAAGGTCGTTCTGGTTCCGTCTTTCGCACTTCGAAAATCTTTCTTCTAAAATTTTCGCAATCCGCTCGTTTCACCAGGTAATCGTCTATTTTGCTTCTTATTTATTTTCCTCAACCTTATCCGCAGCTGTAATCGCTACAAAGGATACTTGTTAAGAAGTTACGCGATCAGTTTGATGATTTTTGAGCAAAGAATTCGAGTTTTTTAGTATTTTTTTTCCTAGTAATGTGTTTGTATTTATTGCTTTCTAGGGACTATTTCTTTGATTTAGAAACGTAGCTCTTGTGATAAAATTTTTTGCAATTTCTTGTGGATTATCTGAAGCTGAATTTCGATTCTTTTTCATCCATGATCGTCTGAATTGCCGAGTTAATTAAGAAGTTTTGGCAAATAATGAAACGGTTTTTATTGTGGGAAAGGAGCACTTCAACAATTAAAGGGTGAAAGTTTCTTATTTTGAATAGTTTTTGTTTTTCTCAATTTCGGTCCCCAGTGCTTTTAAGCACTGGAACAGAGCACAAGTAAGCCTTACATTTCTATGTAGCCTTTAGCTAGTGTATACTCAGATAGCCAACAAGTTTCCTACAAAGTCTTTGGCAGTCTTTTGCAGTTAAGTTGCCGATGTAACAATCACCTACCGAAGAATTCTCTCTTTGATTGCTAGATGATGGAATTGATCTGATTTTATTTTATTTTTTTGAAAACTATGCTGTTTAGGTAATGTTGTAGATAGAGCATAAAAATTGAGTTTCTGTATTTTGATGTTTTAGTTCCACTAGTTAGTGTTGAAGAAACTCTTTAATATGAATCTTTTATTTTTTTTTTCAAAAAAAAAAAAAACTTGAATAGACTATCACAATAATCTTTCTGTAATTGCATGTTTTGCTCTTTAACACTTGAGTTGTTCATTTGTTAAGGTTTTTTTTAAAACTGAGTATGCTGCTTTCAGTGGGAACAGCGCATTACAAAATGCAGAAGGAAAGACAAGGCAAAAATGACCTCTTTGATATGGGTGAGCCATTTGATGCTTTCCGAAGGTTTGGTGGCTTTGGATCCCGTAGAACTATGATGCCTAGCCTATTTGGAGGCAGAGATCCTTTTGACGACCCATTCTTCACTCGTCCTTTTGGTAGCATGTTTGAATCTAGCATCTTTGATGCAAGTGCTACTTTTCATGACACAGTGGACAGCAACAGAGAAAAGGGTATAGTTATAGAAGAACTGAACCCCAGTGGTGAGGAAGACGAAGGAAAAGATAAGGGTGCTACTGAGCATACTGGGTCAGGCAAAGAACCATCTGTTGAGCACCCAGATGATGATGATAATGGTAAAGCCAATTTGATTTTGGATGAGTAGCATGTATATAAGATTTTGGTTTTAGCATGTGTATAATGGTTGGTGTGGTATGGTGTATCTAGCAGATGGGAAGATTCTGAATGTAAATCCTAGGAATGACTATGACCGGGTGAAAGGAACAAAGTCACAGGCTCGCAGTTTTAGCGTTCAGACTTGCAAAGTTACATATGGTGGTGTAGATGGAGCTTATTACACTTCTACGAAAAGCAAGAGGACAGGCAGTGATGGAGTAAGTAACTATTTCTAGGAGTGGTCAATTATAATTAAAACTCTTCTTTGTTTTTGATGTCTGTGTTGGTGTTCCAGGTGGTAATTGAGGAGAGAAAAGAAGCGGATAGAACAACAGGTCAAGCAACGCATAGGGTTTCTAGAGGAATTCATGATAAGGTGATTATTCCATTGGTGGTATTACTAGCCCTTTCTAGGAAACAATTATTAAACCGGTCCAAGCTGAAGAATGCGGTTAAATATGTCAATCATCTTATAAAATAACTGCAAAATTTGAATGTGTTTTAAAGGAGCATATCCTCCATGAAGCTTCAAAATATACCATTTAGCGTACAGTCTGTGGTACAAATGCAAAGTACCAATTCATTCTCTGTCATCTACTTTATTGACATGATTAATGACACTTATTTTAAGCTTTTTTCCAGAAATTTATATTAGTTATCAGATATATTATTTTCATGCATTAGTTGTCAGTTCTAGCATGAGATATGCCAGTTTGGAGTTTCATCCCATCAGTTTAGTATCTAACCAACACGTCCTGGGAGTTAGTATTGCTTCTAGTGTTTTTCAGTTATTTGATCCTTTTCCTTTGCTGCCTATCACTGTTATGAGAAATCTGTAGATACGATAAAGGGAAAAGAAAGATTTAACTGTCACTTGCAGTAATTTGGCATTTAACTTTGCTAGGACTGAGAATGTTCCTTTGCTCATGCAGGGCCATTCTGTTACAAGGAAGCTTAATTCAGACGGTAAGGTGGACACAACACAAACATTACACAACTTGAATGAAGGTATGTTCCCTGGTTGATTGCTGTGACTATTCAAGAGCATTGTGCTTGAATGGAACTGATATTGTTATATTGCATTGCTTCTTTATTAGATGAGCTTGAGGATTTTGAACAGGCTTGGAAAGGTAATAGTCAAGGTCATTTGCCTGGTTGGAGTGATGGATTTAGCATGCATGCAAATGCTGGTAAACATTTCTCTTAACCTTTATGGTTGGTTACTTGTGGAGATCTTTCAATTTGTTCTTTTCCTTTTCTTCATTTTTGAGAATATCACATTCCTTTTATATATATATGATACTAATGTTGTTCTGCAAAAACAAGAAAAAGAAAAAATCTTATAAGGTTTCGTTCCTTGGGATTACCTAAATATTGAGGTTTTATCATGCCATTTGGCATTTGCCTGTTATTTTTTTTTCCCATCTATCATGCTGCAAATAATAAATGCCTTTTAGTTTTCATTGTCCTTCTCAACTTCTGCATCCAATGTGTTTGTAGGATCTAGCAGTGATGAACATATGGGGAAGGCAGTGTGGGACTGTCGGAGACTTCCATCTAGAGAGCACTCTCGAAACACTGGAGGTCAAGGTCAAGGAGCAGCAGACAGTGAAGCAAGAACTAATTCTGGGGGCAGAAACAAGAAAATTGTTAGGATTAATATAGAATGAACCGCGGATGACCAAGGACTGCTTTTTGTCCTGTTTTTGGACCCCAGCCCCGGTGTTAATACGCTTGCAGAAATAATACCAAAACATGCATCTTTGCTCCGTTTTAGGTGAACCAGTGCTAACCTGCTGTATTTGTTTTGGTTTTGATCCATGTGCTAGTGACAGTGTTCAGTATTAGACACTCGAAACTCTTCGGTCTAAAGTTGTTTTGCATTAATTCTAGCAAGGGTGAAAAAGGTGAAATTGTAAAAAAAAAAAAGAAAGACAGACTTGTAGTGGTCCTAAATCTATCCCCACAGTTCTTATTTGAATGTGTTATTTTGTTCCTTTGATAGTTCATGTTTGTTGTGTGTGCGCACGTACGTATGCATATAAAAAAGGAAACCATAAATTATAAAGTTATAAATTCTAATTTTTTTAAAATAAAATCTATTAATTAGTGCATTATTTATGGATAACTTTTTAAGTATTGTGAGGAAATCCTTGATGCTTGGTACAACAACCTAAATTGGTATTCACCCAAAACAAAAGTACAGTAGTTAATAATGAAGGAATCAAAAATAATAGAAGGCAGGAGCTATATTGCAATGTAAATTAAAAATCGTGCAGGTTGTCGAAACCTCCTAACAGAACTGACAAGAAAACAAAGTAAGAACAGAAAAAGGCAGAGCCACAGACAAGTTGAAAACCTGTTTTCAAGAATCCCAAAATGTAAGTGAGACCACAAAACAGTACAATATCATGGGTAGGCTATGATTGTCAATGCATACGCATGAAGAGCAAGGTGATCTAACTTAGATCCTGGTGTTGGCTGTTGTGGAAAAAACAAGCATTAATGTACCTTATTCTAGTGTTTTTCTGTGTCAACTTGAATGGTCTTGCGCATATTTTCTCGCATCAAAGTTTTCAATCTTGGAACCATTTTTCTTATTATTACTAATAATTTATTTTGGCCGGTGAAACTATTTATTTATGTGGGAAGCAAGGAAGTGTAAACTCGACAACTATACTAATCTTTGAAGGGTTAGTCTTGAACTTTTCTTGTTGGAAACTTGGGTACTCTGCTTCTGAAATTCCATTGAAACAGTTAAGTTTTATGAAGGAATTGGTACAAAATTCTCTCCTTGTTACCAAACAAGAGCATTACTATGTATTAAGCTAGATAGGTGGTTTATATTGTTAAAGCTTCATTACGAGCCTTTCTGCTTTAATGACCGTGGGCATGGCTTGATTGCTATGCTGCAAAAGCTTCTGCATCTTAAAGCGTGCATCATATTAAAAATCCTGTTGCGGTTCCCAGAGTAAAGGGACATCACAGCTAATATGTGAATATTTTGGGAATGGCGATAGCAGAAACCAAATTAAATGCATTATCTGATTCAATATTTGTACAGTTTCAGCTGCATCTAGGAAGGTCACAAAATCATAAACAAGAGCTGGGTTCACAAGTGGTGCAGGGAACTGTTCGTTGGCAACATGTGGGAGTCATTGGCTACATGTTCGAACTCTGCTCCATGTTTTATTCATTAAAAAAAAAACTAATTATGGATCTTGATTTTTTCAGAGCAAAACTCAAGTTAAAACAGCTTCAAAGACTATGGGCTGAGCGTGGTTTTTGATCTAAAGTTAGCTGTCACACTCCCCTTGTTGGCGTAACATTGCAAACGTAGGTCGGACGACTCAAACAACTACAGGGGGAATTGTTCTCATTTCTGTTTTGTTGCTCAAAGGTGCTTTATCAAGTTAGGCACCAGATTTGAGCACAAAAAGAAACTACTGCTTACGCCATTTTCCTTTTGCAGAAGTGTTAAATTGTGAAAGATGAAAAGAAAAGAGAAAAAAAAAGCACTCTGAGGAATCTAATTAATGCTGCAGGCCTGTCCCCAATACATTCTTGTTTTTAACGTATGGTAGTATCAGTCTCTGGGAAATTTCCTGTCCAACTTTATCTCCCATAAATGTCAAAGTTTTATCTGTAACCCATTACCTGTAATCCAGAGCAAGGCGGCAAGATGTTGTCCCCATAACAAGACAGGACAAGAGGCTGCAACCTGCTGCGAAGATATAATGATGTAAACGTCTGAGCTACGGGACAATTCTGCTTGTCCCATTTATTGTAGGCCATAGGGAATAATGGATATTGCACTTACACTGGATAATGGACTAACAACTCAAGTCTTTTTCATGGTTCGTTTTCATAGCTTTGAATTTTAGTTCATTTCTCACTTACAAGTAAGTGAAGTGAAGTTTCCATATGTATTAAGAACAAGAAACATCATATAAAACAATTGCAAGTTGTCAATGGCAGAATCTCTTCAATAAGAACCTACCTCAGTTGCTTGCATGGAAATATAATAATCCAACATAATACCAAGAAGGATGGAACCGCGTGTCTCGTCGTGTATAAAACCAATGGCAATCTCTCTCTCACACACAAGCAAAGGGTATAGTTACCAAATCTACTTTTTTAAGTCTAAAGCAAGAGAACCGAAAACCTTGACGAGGAATAGGGGAAATGGCTTGTTGGTCTGCTGAGAACGCCACCAAAGCTTATCTCCGAGCCCTGAAAATGGTAAGCAAAAGCTACCCATCAATCTCCGTTGCAATTCTTTTGTACTGTAAGTGTATTTTTTCTCATTTGAGTTTGTATTCTGATGTATTTTATAGAGAAAAAAAGGCAAAGAGCCTGACGTAGCCGAGTTCATATCTGCCATTGCGGCTGGCAACAACGCGCAGCTCATGGTGATGGCATGTGCTGGCGTTGCTGGATCCACCGCCCTAGCGTTGGTCGCGGCGTCTCGTCAAACCGGTGGCCGCGTGGTCTGCATCTTGAATAGTCTTGACGATTATCAGGCATCCAAAACTGCTCTAGGGAGCTATGGAGATTGCATCCACTTCGTCATTGGGGATGCCAAGAGGATTCTAAACGATTACAAAACCGCAGAATTCGTGCTCATCGACTGTAATATCAGTGATCACAAGGGAGTCATAAGGGCAGCCCAAGAGGGTGCAAAGCATGGAGGAGCCCTCATTGTAGGCTACAACGCCCTTAACAAGGGACAATGTTGGAGCACCGAATTTAAGACCCACTTTCTGCCCATCGGAGAAGGCCTGCTGGTGATCAGAAAAGGTGCTTCCAGCAAGGCTAGTCATGGAGTTAGCTGCGGAAAAAGAAGCCGCTGGGTTGTTAAAATAGACAAATGGACCGGTGAGGAACATGTTTTTAGGATCACTTCACCACTCCCGGAAGATCAGATGATCAAAGCTTGAGGCCACAGGTTTGGTTTTAGGAACTTTTTGGGAGCAAGGAAAGGCAATTAATCGAGTAAAATTACGGCATAAATCTTCCTTTCTTTGCTTTCTAATTTCCTAACCAGAGTTCTAGATAATGGAGACATTGACGAGCATGTAACACCCATCTGGCTCTGTTTTTTTGGAAGAAGTTAGATGTTATGTACATATACGAAATTCCCCTTATCCATCTTTTCTTTTGGATGAAGGTCAATTAATTTCTCTTCCCCTATGAACAAATCTATATTGCTAGTTACAACAAGGCCAAAGTCAATATATTTCAGAGATCTAAACAATTATATTGTCATTTCAATCAAATCAGATCTAAGTTCTCAGCCCAAATAAAAATAAGATTACCCAAAGCTCATTAATTTGTCTCAGCTGTTTTATTAGAAAGGATTATACACCTAAATTTTATATTTTTTGTTTTACATATGATTTAGATTCTACAATTTGAGTATCAACTCGGATGTTGAGTTGGTCAAGGAAAGAGAGAGCAAAAATCATAAAGGGTTAAAATACACTCAGATTCAGTAATTAGACGGATTAGGAACAACTTGACAAATACACAATCCAACAAAAATCCAAACATTTAAGAACAGAACCTGATTACACCAAAAAGAAAATTAATATCAGTAATTAGACAAGGTTAATTAACTTTTTCATTTCATTAATTTATGTCTCTCATCTCATAATTTAAATCTGAAAATTTTAACATTATGTTCGCTGAGATGAAAAGAGAAAGGGACAAAAGGAAGTCGACGAAAAATAATATTTATTATTTTTTTTTTTGTGTTTTTCAAAATGAGAATCTAAACTTTTTAAATTAAGAGAAAGAGAGAGATTCAAATCCTACTCTCTAGATAGAGAATAATATACTAACTAATAAATCAAATATTCGGATCTAAATTAATAATTTTATTGATTAATTTTATTTTTACTTTTCGTCTTTTATACCAAACAAACAAAAACAACTTTTTTTTCTCCTTTATTTTTTCTTTTCTCACTTTATTTCAAACAAAGAATAAATTTAAAATTTTACATTCTACCCATGAGATATGTCCTTGGAAACATTTTGCATCATAGATGTACAATATCAAGATAAAATTGGGAAAAAGAGAAAAGGCGCCCCAAATCCAGAAACAAATGGGCACACTACACAGTTGGGCCTTTTGCTTTAAGGACCTGATTTCAATCCCAGAGTAAACCTTTTAGCTTTGTATTTTTTGTTTTCTTTCCAGACAAGGGCCGGTCCACTGGGCATCAATTTCTTTCGAATCACTCTCTCATGTTGAAGTCGAAGAGCAAAGAAAATTGACCCAACAAAGAGAAGAGAACTGTTAATCTGCCTGTCCAAATAATTATATCCGGAACATTGAATCAAAGATTAAAATCCAAAAACCATAAAGTTGCAGCAATTCGAGTAAGGTTGGATTGGGATAATTCACTAAACTCGGATTTAGGAGGACAAAAATGTTTCTGCACATGGAAAAACATTTAGTGATATTTTTATAACTATTTACATTAGGATTTGCCGATCGTTTACTCCCCTAGAGGCTACAGCTGCAAAGCAACACAAAACTTAGTCTCGGAAAACATGCTCCTCTCCTGATTTTTGATCGATGTACTTGATCCAACGGTTACGACTCTTCTTAGAGCCCACACCCCCACCTTGAGCCCCAATATGAGCAATATCTACTCCCTGCCCTACCGGCAAGAGCACAGATCTCACCACACGTGTCCCTCTTTGAAGCACCTCGTGCCATCTGAACCCGGAGAAGCCTCTGTGACATGCATTCTTGCATGCCAAAACTGCACCCTTGCTGTTCAATTTGGCGAACCTTATAACCCTGGCAAAATCCTTCCGCTTGGAGTCCACGACAAGGAAATCAACACCCGCGAGCCCCTCCATCACTTCCTCTGCTTCTCCCACGATGACCACCGTCGACGCAATCCCGGCTTCGTGCATGGCCTTGACGTAGCCTGACCTTGACCATTCGTCCGGGACTATGCACACGTGCCTGCCGCAAGTGTGATGGGCTGCTATGGCGAGGCCGACGCTGGTTGCTATGGGACCACCGTATGACCATGACTCGACAATCAGCTTTGAGTTCCAGCCGGCGGCCATGGCAGATAGGAGCTCAGCCACGCCTGATTCTTTGCAATTTTGACACTGCAAGTCAGTTAACTCAATCGCTATTAGAAGATCAGGAAAAAAAAACAAAATAGCAATTAAACAAAGTTACGAGAAGGGAAGCTTACTGATTTAACAGTGTCTATATAAGCTTTTGAAGCCGTATCTGCAGACCAAACCAGCTTCATGGCACTCTTCCTTTCTGGGTTTCACTTCACTTTTCTCTATCTAGTCTCTGATCAGTCCCTCTAACAAGTTTTTTCTGATGCTGGGTTACGGTGAGTTGTGAGAGAGGGGGAGAGAGAGAGAGAGAATGGTTGTCAGAGTTAGATGCGAGGTTTGCTTTTAAATGCTAGCAAGGGAAGCTGCTGACGGCCCTTTTTTTGAAGCCGTTGACATTTTCTTGCACAAATTGGAAATTTAAAACGTGTTGGTTAGCCAGTCTTGCTTCGCCATGATATGTCGCACTGTGCATCACTTACAAACGAATCCGGGATTTCAGTATTCGTCTCTAATTTCTTTTTTATATATAACAAAAGAAAAAATGAACTTTCCATCAGCAGGATTATGAAGTTGACAGCATAAACGTCAGACTTTTAAAGAAACGAAATTGATCTTTTCATCCTATGAAAAAGCAGATGAATTTCGATTCATCAAACCAAGGGCTTGTACTGGCAGTTTTGGTATCGTACGTATAATCTGATTTGGTCAACTCTGATATTTGTCTTATTCCTCTCATTATCACCCTGTCTCTCATCTTGTCGTCCTTGGCCTTTACTAAGATATGGATAAAACTTTAAGTCTTCTGTAATTATGTTATGAATACTAATTAACTCGTACTTTGAAAGTTTGGATGCAAATTAATAGCTTTTGTTAGCAGACAAGTTGCAACAAAGCTCGGTCCACGCTTCTGTCGGGATTGTTTATATGCGAAACACAGCCAAGTTGATAGACAAGTGGGGAAATAAAAGCCATTTAATTATAAATTTCATTTCATTTCCATCCATTTTCATCTGTTTGTCGGTTTGGGCAGAACGTATTTAAGTGCTTTAGTTCGATTTTAATCAATAATTATCGAGAAAAAGATGGCTAGCGAACCAACATTTTCAACTTGGACTAGATAACACTGACAATGAATTTTTGTCTACAGGCTCCAACTGAGCTGGGGTTTACGGTTGCTGAGCAAACCATCCAGCTGCAAGTTGATGCTCCTGGCGTATGCACTGTCGCATATGACTTGCAACCTGGACTATCATTGCTCACAGCTAGCTTCAAAACTGATTTCTAGTCTTCCTCTGATCCTCCTTTGTGTACGGAAAGCTTCAACTTTGTCAATGATTAATAATTGAACTGGAAAAAGGGCTTTGATGAAATGGTGAAACATGAGGTAGTGCTACGACTATGCAGCCAACCCACTGAACTATTTTCGGCCAAGTTAAAGCCAACCAACTAACATATATCTATGACTATCTATGCCTCTTAATCCTTATCCATTCTTTTGAGAAATTCACTTAACTTACATCATTCATGTTTTTTAATTTTCTTTTAACGAAAACTCGATTTAATAACATATATATAAATTTATTTAACATCATACTCTCTTTTTTCATTTTCAATTTTTAATTTTTATTTTTATAAAAATTAAGACAAATTTTTTAATTTTGATAAATTTTATTAAAATTTTTCAAAATTATAATATAAAGATTCAATTTTTTAATATAAACATTATGAAAAATAAATTTCTAGTTACATATTTAATGATGCTGAAAGTCCAAAAGTGAGAATTTCGAGCACTCCCGCCGCCTAATACTGATAAAATAATGCTTACACACACCTTTTAACGTTGTAAAGCCTTACATTGAATAGCATGAGATGCACCATATATTATAAAGAAAAATCTAACAATCTCAACCCTTTTTTGTTTGAGATATTTGATTGATGACTATGATATAAGCTTTCAATTAATTAAAAAGGGGACCCAAGCTTATTTAATTAGAATTAATTACTCTTTTTGATGAAAACGCCTAATTATTGAAAGCCTTCATTGGGAACAAATTGCTAGTATTAGATTGATATACATATGGTACACATCATGATTATGACTTTCCCTAAGTCAATGTCCCGTCTACTTGCACTATAAAACGATTAATAAGTTTACGATTGATATTAACAATATCGACCAACACAGTTAACATTAACAAATTAAAAACTTCAAATCTCAACGTATTTCTAAAGACATTAATAACTGAGTGTATAAATTTGTAAAAATCGATATTTAACGTCGATAGGATATAATATTAATATTTAATGGTGATTTGAATGGTTTCTATTTTTGCTTTGGAATATTATCGACGTATTACTTAAAAGTTAAAATGATTTCATTTGAACATTTCGGGCTGTCTTAATTTGCTGATTCACAGATTTAAAAAATAATTAATAGAGACAACGTTGTATTTGCCTTGTTGAAAGGGTCCAATACTGCGACAGACAACTTATCTCTTTCAGCTTTCAAGCATATGAGGTTGGTGAATGCAACAGCTTGTCAGCTTCTGAGTAGTTAATTCATCATTTATTAGTTGATTATCGTTTGTGTTTCAATCTCAACTGATAAGCCAAGCAATTGATTAAAATTTTGGCTTGATCTTATCAGTTTCAACTAGTTATAGATAAGCTGTGTCCACCATTTAAAAAATGCAACCTACTAAGGGTTGCATATCTTTAATTAAATCTGTATATTATTTTTTACAATATATATAAACTAATAATCGAAATGTAACTTAATTTGTTAATATTTCTTTAATTAAATTTGTATATTGTTTCTTATACTTTCTGCAAACAAAAATCATTTATATATCCTATTTAGTGTTTTGTTCGAAATTTTTATCTTAATTTCTAGTGAAGTTTTATATTAATATCATTTTTTCTGTTAAGTTATTTGCTTTTAATATTAGGTTTTAAAGGGATTTAAGATTTAAAGATAAAAGTTTTTGGTTGATAACATAAGAATAGCACATGATGTAAAATTATAAAAGAAATATCAAACAGAACACTAAGTGAGAATAAAATATTTTTAATATTTTGTAATCAAATATCTGAGTATTTGACTAATTGATTAATATATCATTTCTCTATTTCAAGAGAAGAGTTTGAATCCCCTTCCCTCAATTCTAAAAAACAAACATATTTGTATAAAAATATAAGCTGTCACGCACAAACACAATCAGACTTTTACCTAATATAGTTTCAACGATCAAATGAGTCAAAAATAACATGAAATTTAGAATCAAGGTAAACTCACTTTGAATGGAGAAATATTTTTTTTTATAATTTGAAATGTTATCTAGCTATAAAATACTCAAGCTTGTATCAGCAAAATATTTTGCTTCACCTAACAAGCTTTAAATAATGATTTTTAATTAAAATTAATGTAAATAAAATAATTAGTAAGATTTTAGTTAAATCAGGCTTGGGCCCAAATCCGAATAAAAGTTGATGTGGGCTTTTATATTGGCTTATGGGCTTTTGTGTTACCTCTTAAGGGCTTTAACTGGGCCTATCTGAACATCTTTTTGTTAACGACGTGGTTTGATGTCTAACCGGTTCGGGTTATGGTCGTTGAAAACCGTTCACGTGATGAAATCTGAAACACGGGAAATATCTGACAAGAGATTGGAAGAATCCACATCTGAAACTAAAACCCAGAAACCAGAGTTAATGCTTCTCTGTGCCAATCTAAGCCAGCCTTGGACCTCAGCGCTGCCAACTCTCGTTCTGCTCCGGAAATGCAAGACTTGGAACGACGTAAACCAAATCCATGCGCGTTTAATAACAACTGGTTTCATCAGAAGTCTCGCCCTCACCACCAAAATCGTACTCGCTTTCTCTTCTTCACCGTTCTCTCCCCTTGTCGAATTTTCCCGCCATGTCTTCTTCACGCACCATGCTTTCCGATTCCCTGAACAAGAAATGGACCCTTTTCTTTGGAACGCAGCCATAAAATCGTATTCGCATGGGCGAGACGCGAAACAAGCGTTTGTTATGCTCTGTTTGATGCTTGAAAATGGGGTTCATTTTGATACGTTCTCGTTGTCTTTGGTACTTAAAGCGTGTTCTCGGTTGGGCTTAATGAAGGAAGGAATGCAGGTTCATGGCTTGTTGAGAAAGCTGAATTTTGAGTCTGATTTATTTTTACAAAATTGTTTGATTTCTTTGTATTTACGCTGTGGATTTGTTGGATATGCGCGCCAGTTGTTTGATAGAATGTGTAGGCGGGACTCTGTTTCGTATAATTCGATGATTGATGGGTATATTAAAACGGGGATGATTCATCTGGCAAGAGAGTTATTTGAATTTATGCCAATGGAGGATAAGAATTTGATAACTTGGAATTCTATGATTAGTGGTTATGCGCAATTGGAAAATGGGATGGGTTTGGCTTTGAAATTGTTTGAGGAAATGCCTGATAGGGACTTGATTTCGTGGAACTCGATGATTAATGGGTTTGTAAAGTGTGGGAATATGGAAGATGCACAGTCTTTGTTTGTTAAGATGCCGAAAAGGGATGTCGTCAGCTGGGCTAATATGATCAATGGATATGCTAAAGTAGGTAAGATTGATCTAGCTAGGCGTTTGTTTAATGAAATGTCGGAAAGAGATGTTGTTGTGTGTAATGCCATGATGGCTGGTTATGTCCAAAATGGATATTGTTCAGAGGCTTTAGAAATATTTTATCATGTGCAAAGGGATCGCAATTTGCAACCTGATAATGCCACATTGTTGATTGTTCTTTCAGCGATTGCACAATTAGGGCGCATTGAGAAAGGGTTGGCAATACATCAGTATATAGAGGAGAACAAGTTTTCTTTGAGCGGAAGACTTGGCGTTGCTCTTATTGACATGTATTCAAAATGTGGCAGTGTCAAGAATGGTATGTTGGTTTTTGAGAGTATAGAAGATAAAAGTGTTGACCATTGGAATGCTATGATTGGTGGGCTAGCCATTCATGGCTTGGGTGAATTGGCTTTCAGTTTGCTCATAGAGATGCAAAGGCTTTCTGTAGAACCTGACGATATCACATATATTGGGGTGCTGAATGCTTGTGGGCATGCCGGCTTGGTGAAGGAAGGTCTGATTTGTTTTGACATCATGAGAAGAGTTCACAAAATGGTGCCAAAACTGAAACATTATGGATGCATCGTTGACATCCTTGGCCGGGCAGGGCAGATAGCAGAAGCAAGAAAATTTATAGAGGAAATGCCTATTGAAGCCAATGATGTGATTTGGAGGTCTTTGCTTAGTGCTTGCAAAAATCATGAAAACATTGATGTTGGAGAACCAGTGGCTGAGCATTTAATTACACTGGACTCTTGTAATTCAAGTGCTTATATACTTCTATCCAACATGTATGCTGGTCTCGGTATGTGGAATGCTGTCAGTAAGGTTAGGATGAGGATGAAAGAGAGAAACCTAAAGAAAATTCCCGGTTGTAGTTGGATTGAACTAGAGGGAATTGTTCATGAGTTCTTTGTGCAAGATAAGTCCCATCCCCAAGTTATGGAGATCTATTCTTTGTTGGATAGTTTCTCAACATCCAATTCAGAGGTCACACCTTGTGGACGTCTTGGTTAGGTTGGAACCGCTGAACGCCTACAAATCAATTGTAGATAACAAAGAGCTTGCTTCGTGTAGGTGTAGTAGCAAGGAGAACACCTAGTTTTACCAGCTTCACGAGCTGCCTTATTTAAAACATTTTGGACACCAACTGTATTCTGTTCAATTAATGTAAGTCAAATGTAAGTAATTATGGAAATTAATCCTTTTTCCAATATCATATTAGTGATTTTTCCTTCTTTTGTCTACCCCATTGTTCGAACTCTTAATGTCTGACCTATTGACTGTACTTCCATCAGCTTTTTCCTTTCTGTCTAAATTCTAATTCTTCTTCGAGAGGAAGAAGATTGGAGAGAATATTCAGGCTCCTTGAGACAGTTGGTGAAAACCCATGAGTTTTTTCCCTGCTTGGAGAGTTAAAGAACAACCTTGACTTGTCTGAACTCGCTTAACCAGATAGCGGCATTTGCTATATTTCCAGGATGAGCCAGAGATAAGCACCAGTTGTTCTTGGGTTAGTAGTAAAAGGATGAAAAAGACGAAAAATGTTGACAGGTATCCAAAGGAAAATGAGCAAAGGCAAGTCCTCGTAAGAATCATTTTGTCCCTTTGCATAAATCCATCGAAGTTCGTAATAATTTTAATTGATTATGCTAATCACTCTAGCCCGCCAGCATAGCTATAACAACTAGTACTGTAACAGAAGTTAAAATGTTAAAATGCAGAGACAGCATTGCTATGATTTCAGGGGTGGGGTTGCTTTGATCTCTTTCTTTCCAGTCATTATTTGTCCATTAGCTAAAGCTAGCTGGCCATTCTGGTGCTGCAACATTTCCCACAAGAATTCTTCCTTTACTTTCTTTTTGGGTGACTGGGTCCTGTTCCAGGATTTCACGTGTTCGGAGATGCAACATGATTCTGTCCTGGAAGGAAGAAAAAGGAAGAGATTCTCCATTTTCCTTGCCAACTCTGTGTGCATCAACTGTCTTTTCATTAAATAAAGAGAAAGCACCTCACGGAAATGTCTTATCACATGTCAGTGCATAGAGGTTCGAAAGGTAAATATGCAGCTGCCCAGATTCAAAATTTGCGCTTTCCATGGTTTCTCAAAGATCCAACATCTTTCACTGGAATCATTGCATTTCCCTTAATTATCTCCAAAATTTATTTGTCTTTTCTCACCTAGCTAATGAAGTAAATAATAGAAGAAACTATGATTACTCATCTGGAGGGACTGGAACAATTGAACATAGGAAACAGCCTTGTTTCATAACTTGAAATTAAATTGATACAAATCGGAAGGCAGGTTCCCCTAACTTTTGGTTCTCTCACGTTGAATTACAACGTAATGATACATACTTAACATTCACATATAGTTCAAGTCCTCAAGGAAAGGACACTGCAGTTAGATAAGATCAGTAAAAGGAGTGCTTCGGTTATGACATCAACCAGAGGTTAGTAATAGCCGCATCCTGCCTCAGGCCACTTGAAAATTTGAGGCGATAGCTCGAATTACTTCAAGAACTGCTCTAATCCACTCAATTCTTGTATCACATTGTCCATGGATGGCCTTTGGTTAGGAGATTCGTGGGTGCAAAGCAGAGCAATTCTACCAAGTTTAGTGGCCTCAGAATCTGAGTACTTCCCCTCAAGATTCATGTCAATAAAATCTTCAACTTTGCAAGACTCTGCAGCATGGCGGACCAGTTGAGTGATTTTCCGTTTTCCACTTAATATCTGAAACAAAATCATACCAAATGCATAGACATCACTCTTTTCAGTGAAACGGCCAGTAGTAGTGTACTCAGGAGCAAGGTATCCCATTGCAGCACTAGCTTTGAGAGTGGAGAAGACAATGTCGTCTGCAAGGAGTTTGTGCAGGCCAGAATCTGAGAGCAAGGGATTGGATCGGTTGTCTATAAGCACTTTCTCTGCAGATATATTCTGGTGAACAAGAGCAGGTTTGCTTCCTTTGCTTCCATGTAAATACCCGATACCTAGTTATGAACATCACATCCCAGTATGCATAAAATTGTCAGAGAGGAACAAGTCGAAAATCCTGTAATTGTTTCAATAAACTCCTCTATATGATTTCCAAATCTTCCTCAGAAAAGATTACATTATCCCAACCATATTAAATTCTATTAATTGAATTATTTTTTACCCATTTCCAGTTATTCGACAATTACATTAAAAATTTCCATAATTAATAAAAGATGATAGGTTAATGTTTATACCGTATTATAGATCAAAATGTCTGAGCATAAAATATTTGTACAATCTCAATCAGGAAGAAGATAACTGACCTTTGGCAATACCATATATGATTGAAACTCTGGTGGACCATTCAAGAACTTTCCCGCTGCCTGGCTTTACATCAAGATGCTGCAACAGATTTCCATTGTGGACAAAATCATAGATGAGAAAACACTCCCCCCTGCCCTTTGAACAGCAAAAACCTCTCAATCTTACAAGATTTTCATGTTTCAATGAGGTCAATATCTTAAGGCCATGCAGAAACTCAGATTCGTCAGACTTGCAGCTTGTCTTGGCAATGCATTTTACTACAACAACAGACCCATCTCTTAGGAACCCTTTATAGATGGCTGAGAAATTACTCTTCCCCAACAAATTAACTTCTGAGAAGCACTGAGTTGCACGCTCTACTTCTTCTAAATTGAACATAAAGCTCTCAAAAACCTCCTGAGAAAACCCATTCCCACTCCGACCTTTGTCTAAAGGGTCCCACCCACTAGCATACTCTAAACTAATTAGGGGCGAGGCACTCCTCCTGTAAACCTCCTTGGCCTGGTCAGTGCTGAGCCGACCATCTGAAGTATCAAAAGCACTCCCAATTTTCTGTTTTCTTCGGCGGTACCATGCAAATGTGAAAACTGCTGCAACTGTAAACACAAGAACAACTCCAACCATGCCAGAGATTACACCTATTGTTGGACTTTTGGATGACCTTGAACAGTTAGTTTTGCTACAATCTACAGGTTGTAAATCGGCGGACTCTGGCATATCCGTTCTGTTAAGACCACTGGGCTTGAACGGTTCAGGTCTGTCTCTATATATTTTGCCCGAATCTGCACAATCTTTGAGGTCAGAAAACCCAACACCACAGAGGCCAAGATTGTTTTCATACTGGAACCCGGAGTTCAGTCTCTTCAGAACTGCATTCCATCCACAGAGGCATTGAAAAGACAAGTTAGAAAACTTAAGACTTCTTTTCATCATAATTACAAAGCATTAAGACAAGACAAAAATTTGAAGGATGAGTTCAAACAGAGAGAGTAGAGACTATATCACCTGGCGGTACATTGCCGGACAGGGTATTGTTGCGGATGTCTAACACTTTTAGCATGGGAACATTGGCTAACTTCACCGGAACAGAACCAAAAAGGCTATTAAAGCTCAAGTCCAGCCTTGTTAACATCTCTAAATCCCCCAAACTTGCAGGGATTGCACCGGTTAGTCGATTATATTGCAAAGCAAGGACATTAAGCTTCTTTAGAGAACCTAACTGCGTTGGAATACCCCCAGTCAACTTATTGTAACACAGTTGAAGAACTGCAACCAAAAGATCCAAAGTGATTCATAGTTAGTTTATATCAATGGATTTATTTCATATCAGACAAGAAAAGCACAGAGACCTTGAAATTTTTCTACAAAAATCCTTTCTTTCTATATGGAACTACAAGCAACTGATTGCTGCATCAGCAAACAGATCTAAAGATGTTTACTTTACTTTTGAATCACATAAAGAAGAGTAAAAGGATCAATCAAAGATGACTACTTTAGAAATGTAACTTTGTAGGCTAAACAAATAAACAATATCGACCAAGTTAATGAAGAAAACCACATGAAATAAATCACGATTTAAATGCATCAGACAAGACTGAAACTTTTTTATGATACATAAGTACACAAACCAATGCAATTAAATGCCAACTTAATTAATAAGCCGCCGGCGAAAATTCAAAAACAACCACACACACTTGAAGAAAAGAAAACCGTCAACAAAATCAAACCATTTTATCTGTTTCTCCCTCCAAAACATAAGAATGATACCTTGAAGATTAGCCATGTTGCCAATCTGGGAAGTAATCTCTCCAGACAAGTTATTCACATTGAGATACAAATCGCTAAGTTGACTGAGAGTCGCAATCTCCTTCGGTATCCCCCCACTCAACGCATTGAAATGCAGGTACAAGCCGGTCAAGCTCTTGAGACCACCCAGAGCGGCCGGTATCTGCCCGGAGAGACCCTTTCCTTGCAGCGAAATGTTAGCCACGTGGCCTTCCTCGTTGCATGCCACCCCATCAAATGACCCGCTGCTACACGGGTCGGAGTAAGGAGTCCACGAGGACAAGAACCGGTTTTGTGGGTCCAACGAGGCCTTGATTTGGAGGAGAAGCTCACGTTCAGTTGGTGCAGCGAGAGAGAACGGGAGGAGAGAAAGCAGGAAGAGAAGGAACAGGGGCATGAACATGATTGGTTGGAAGGAAAGAGGAGGAAAATGGGAGGGGAGAGAGTGGGAAAAACAAGGTCAAGTGAGATTCGAATCTGTTTAAGCCTTAAGGTAAGTTGCTTGAGTTTGAGCTTAGCGGCAGTGCAGAGAAATGGAGATAAACAAAACAAAAAGCCATACTACAACAAGTAATAACCGCAGGGAGCTTAAGTACAAAAAATCGTTTCCTTTTCATCGGTTTCACTTCCTTTTAACTTTTTTTATTTATTCTTTTGGGGTAAAGCTGTAATTTTATTTTTAATGGGCTGCTGCTTCGTTAGGTAAGGATTTGAAAACCATGGGGCCCCACGTCAGTCAACACTTAACAGTGTGATTCAGTGAATTATTATTATTATTATTTTTCATCTTAATTTTTTTTACTCCAAAAAAAAAGAAAATACAAAAAAAAGTGTCAATAATTTCATCATTTTGAAAATTGCTTATGCATGGGTGACTGTGGGCCTGCGCTGGTATTGACATGGGTTCCACGCTGCAAAACAACTCAAGAAATAGAGCACAGTAATTGGTAAATTTTCAAATGGATTTATAATTAATGTTCTCCCAATATAATAATATTTGTACTCTGTCATAAAATTACATCTCATTAATATGTAAAGTAAAAATCCAAAAAATTTTTAAAAATAAATATTTAAATTGATTTATTAATAAAGTAACAGAATTTGATTCATGAATAGGATATAAAATTTATAAATTGACAAAACATCAAATATAAAT